CCCAACCATCATGGATACAAGTAGGCCATCTCCTTCACGCATCACAAGCAATCACACTGTCTACAACTCTGCCCGCTGGCTTGACCTGCATGTGGCATTTCCAAACCAGTGTACTTTTGTACTGGGCTGGCCAGCAACTGCTGTCTATTGCTGGGTTGGACCACGTCTAGACCCATCAGTACATCTCTCGAGTGAGAGGGAGGTCCTTCTTTCCCTTTTGTGTAGGGACTTAGGGTCATGTCTTGTAGTCTGTCCTCCTGGATGGTTCCCAGGCCATGTACATCATGGATCCCCAAATGATTGCCAGTTCAGCAGCCAATGGGCTAGTCAAAAACAAGGCCCTCCATTGGAGGTCCATCCCCCCTACTCATGAGAGTGGGGGCCTGTACCACCCCGCTCCTGCGATGGGCTGTTTATGTCCATACCCAACCCTCCATTAGGTAGCTTTTCTGTACTTTTATTGTGTGTTGTCCTGTGGTCCCTCGCAGGCATTCAAAGCAGTGCACAACACTGCTGGTTTTCAATCAGGAAACACCAGCTCTCAGCTCCATTCCATTTTTGACCATGCTTCCAGATGTCTCATCACAGGGCAGCACCCCACAAGGGACCACTAGCTTCCAGATGGGCCATCCTGAAGGGCTCTTCAGGGAGTATCACCCCGCTTCTTCCAATTTCCACATAGTCTGTGCCATCTCCTCATGGTCTCTAGGTGGCCAGTGCTGCTTCACACACACAGCCCACAGGAACAGCAGGAGACTGACTCAGTGGTGAATGATGTGGGTGAGCTTGGACTATGGCTTTTACCACACGAATTCACAACCAGAATTCCTCTGCTTGGTGTCTAGCTGAGCACCAGTAAGTATGTCCACCCCCCGTGTGTATTCAGCAACCAGGAAACATAAACATCATACAGGTATGGGGCAAGCTCAGTAACCAAGTCCACTGGGCCTTGTGGACCATGCTGTAGTGACCCGTACCCTTCTGTGTGTGTGGTGGGTCCTATAAAACACTGTGGGTTGCCATACAATAGCGTTAACTTTACCCCAGTATCCTTCAATGCTAATACCTGCCGCACATTCTTTGTGAACCAGTAAATAGTCAATTCCACAAGTGGCCTCCAGTCTTCTGGGACCCCCAAGATCTAGGTACCTCAGTCGACCTCCTAACGGGTTAAATGGAGGCCAATGTCACCTTTTCCTGCTTCGCTGGAGCTGCTTTGGCCTCTGGCCCTGGCCCTCCGAAGGTATTTTTGCTTGGGGTGTAACGGCCTCCAAACAGAGTCAGCAGCACGTCCGAAGGCTGCCGTCCAACATATGCACAGTTAGGTCAGCAACCAGCAGGGTCGTCCAGATCCGGCACTGACCAACCTTCAGTGGCCCCCACAGCCTGTCCTTGGGGGGATGGCCCTGCTCACTGAGGGACCCCTTCTTTTTCTCCTGTCCTGACGTAGTTTTACAGATCTCACCTTACCTTAGCACTTGACTTCTGCATTGCCCAGCCTGGCCCAGACACCAACAGCATCACTGATTGGGCGTTCTATAAAGTGCGCTGGAAGGCTGCCCTGACCCAAACATGCCAGCCAGCCCGCTAGCCAGGACCGCGCCCTTCATGCATGCCACCAGCAGTTCGTCATCTGGGCTACGGTACCGCAACACGAACATCATTTGTCACATGTCCATTTCACATAGCACAATTATCAAGTCTAGGTAGTGACTTGCTCTGGCAGGTCACCCGGGTTCTCCCAAAGCAGCAAGCTGTTGTCATCGGCCCACTTATCACAGTCTGATTACCCTGCGTCCAGGGCTGCCGTCTGCACATCCTGCAGAACCTGTCTCAGAGAGATATTCCTGGCCCTGCTGGAGATCTGAGCATCTCCTGTGGCTTAGCTGCATGTTATCAGCCGCATCCTTCCTCAGCCGTCGCAGCCATGTGGACCCTGCTTCCTTTACCTGCCTTCTGCTTTGTTTTGCCAGCTTCCCCAGCTCCATGACTGTAAAGGTCATGCACACGATGTGCCAGGTAGAGAGAGGCAGCCCTCCTAGTCCTCCTCCCAGGGAGAGGGGTTCCTCTACCTCCACTTTTTTGATAAACAGCTGGCCTAGCACGCAAAACCAGGGGATTTCCTGGTGCTGTTCTTGAACATGTGGACTTAGGCTTTTGGAGACACTTCTGGATGGGGCGGTGCTTCCCACGCCTCAACCTGAGCCCCACAGCAACCAACCATTGCTGAAGGCCCTCTGCTGTGTGCTGCAGAGGAGAGGAAAGAGCAGCCAAGCCACCTGCTCAGTGGCTTCACAGTGAGGGGAGGAATCTGTCTATCATTTCCAAGGGCCCAAGACTGCTTCTGAGTCCTCTGGGGCCTTCCAAACTTCCAAGGGGGTAGCTCCAGGTAGCCATAGTGAGCCTGGGGGTCACTTATCAGCCATTCCCCAGGGCAATCCCTTGCCTTCGGGTGCTGTTTCTACTACTGCCAGGGCCCACTCACCTCTATGTCCTGTCAACTGCACCCGTTGTCAGCCTGCTCAGGGGGCCCAAGGCAGATTTTCTTTGGTTCCAAAGTTGAAAAACATACATACACAAGACATCACCAACAACAGCAAGAAGAAGAGAGCACAAGAGTGAAAGAGCTGCCTGCAAATTTATTGTATGATTCTTATACAGGTTGTTATCTCACATTTACATTCTTATGTAGTGCCATAACCAGCGCATGCATGTTTACCTGTGCTAAGTCATGGTTGCGTAACTGTATCGCACTGGGCTCGGGGTCATGTCCTCAGATGTCCTTATATGTCCCTGAGCTTTGAAGCAGGCTGAGTGGGTCCCCACACCTGTGGATGCATGGTGACTGCTGGCGACCCCAGAAGCCTCCACAGAGAGACACGGCTGTGACTGGGGGTGAGTGCGGAGGGCTCGGACATCCTGTGGGAGGGCGATTGATGGGAAGTCTTCTTGGAGAGGGGCCCACTGAGCACAGAACTCTGAACAACTGCTGGGTCCTTTTGGATTCTGAAATCTCCTTGCGTATGGCTTTTGACTCATCAAAGGGAAAAATGCCTTTGGGGTCTCCCTACATTGTGTTTCAGCAAGATCCCCCCCTCCGTTACTCCATCTGTGTTGGAATTGTGAAGCTCAAATTCTGACCTGAACCCTTTGTAATTGTGTCATCTGAGACTCTTTTCTCCACATTTCTTCAACTGAAAATGGAAATAACAATGCCTAATTTGAGAGTGATATATTATGGACAATGTGCCTAGTACAGTGCTTGACACAGAGAAAAAAATTACTGCTTATCAGCTCCTCCCCTTTTATCCTAGCAACTTTCTATCCCTCACTTCTGATCACTGATTTATTTTCATAATGACATTGACCATGCAAAACGTAACCCTCAACCTGTTCAGTGTCTGATTGACAGTTCATGGTCTCACAATGTCCAAAAATGCAGTTTCGAACCAAAGAGAAAGTCAGGAGAGTTTCACTGGAAATAAGCAGAATAGCTCCCAGATTTCCAGGGAGGGGCTTGAGTGGGTAGCTGCGGAGGCTATCTTTTTTTTTTTTTAATCGGTACCGGGGATGGAACTCATGACCACCTGCTTGCAAGGCAGGTGCTTATGCCGCTGAGCTAAATCCCCAGCCCCGGAGGCTATTTTTTAGTGGTAATGTATATAGTAAAGTCACAGCATGGGTACAGTGAGAGTCAGACTACAATTAACCTATAGGATTACAAGTGTAGCTCTTAGCTAATATTAATCCAACAGGGAAGCAAGTCAGGTAGCAGGGTTACGTGGAAAGAGCAAAGGCTGGCAAGGGACGGCAGCATGGGTCCAGCTGTTCTGACCCCTACCTGTGTATCCGATGCCCATCCGGGTCCCCTGGGCCAGAGGGTGCTGATTACAGTATAATCCCAAGCTGGAGTCACCTCTAGGAAGGCTGCAGACCTAGCTGTTGAGGTCTGGCTCTCTTCAGATTCACCTGCAGCTGCAATCCTGACATCTTTACTTTCTTTGTGCTGATTCCTTAGTGGCCCAGTCCCTCTCTGGCAGCACATTAATTTCTGCCTAACTTAGCTGTTCATACTAATTTCCTCCATCGTGTTATTCTACAACCCTAGGCTTTCAACATGAGACACAGCAGAGCAGTCTGATTAAGAGTTTAGGTGAGGGCTCCTCAATTTCCTTTCCTGATCACCCCCAAACAAGTCTTTTTAGAAATTATCAGAGTATGGTCTCCCACGACTATGAAATTTTAATTCCATGGAAACATTGTCTTTTGGGCGATATATTATACACAAAACACAGGAGCCTTACAAGGGCCAGTTTTCACCCTCCAGGAGAGCGTTAGTCCCTTCCAGTACACAGCACAGACTGAGCAACCCCAGGACTGCAGTTATCTCCTGGCTGTGCCACGAATGAGCTGTGCGGCGCCTGCCTTGTGTGATGACGGGTGAGATGACGCAAGTCCATGTGTGCAGAGGACTTGAAACATTGCCCAGTGCTGAAGTTATTTGCTGTGGTTTTCCCCAGAGCTCCCAGAGCCAATAGCGTATCATAGAAATATCTAAGCCTAGAATTCAAGCTAGAATCATGGCTGACTGCTCCCTCCAAAGCCACTCCCGTTACTCCCACAGAGCATTACTGGAGCCAAGTCTCCGGTCCTTGCCTGTCCATCCCCACCATGCCCACAGCCTTGGCTCTGTCCCTCAGTCAGCCCACCACCCATACTGACTGTCTCACGCAGAGGAGAAACAGGATGTGCACCACTGAGGGCAGCAGCAACAAGACTGTGCCACCAGGGCGGAGCCCGAAGAGGCCAGGAGATGAGCCTGAGGAGGGAGGCTGCCCCAGGGTGAGAGTGCCCAGGGAGGGTAATGGGGGCCCAGGAGGAGCGAGCTCCTACGCAACCCACAGACTCCTTGACAGAGGTCTGAGGAGGCCAGAAGGCAGTGCAAAGGCTGCCAGCGCTCCTCCTGTCCCTCTGAACATGCCCAGGATGCAAGGACTCACCCCTTCCGGACTTGGTTCATTTCTGACGGTCTTTTGCTGAGAGCATCCTAGAGGGGTGAGAAACCATCTCCCCCAGGACTGAAGAGCAGGCTCGCCTTCTGCTTGCTATAAAGCAGCATGTATCCCAGGTTTGGAGGTCCTCTCCTACAGTGCTCCCACACACAGACACGTGGGCACGCAGATGTCACCCCGGCACTCAGGGGCAAGGGAACTGACGGGCACCCACGAATGCCCAGCCGGCCTGCTGGGCCTCTGCCCTCTCTGCTGCAGCCTCTATCCAACAGACAAGGCTGGCTCGTTAGCTTCAGAGAGGAAAGGTGAACTCAAGCTCCCGCGGTCAGGCAAGGTGGGAAGGGAGGAGGGCCCAGCTCGTGTGGAAGTGGTCAGAGGCCAGTGGGAAGTAAGAAGGAGCCATCACGCAAGACCGCACTTACGAGGCTGAGGCTGAAGAGACATCAGAGGTTTGACGCTCACGGCTTCTGGCTAGTGAAGGGTCAGGAGGGATGGCAAGGGGAAGACAGGCCCCCAGGAATGTGAAGTCCTTTCCCAGTGAAATCTCCGACGTGTAGTGGACAGGTGAGGGATGGGAAAAGAAGCCGTCTTGGCCAGATTGCAGCAAGGAATGTGAGGGGGAACAGAAGAGTGAAGGCAGAGCCAGGGCCAAGGAGCTGTCCCTAGCGGGCCCAGAGAGTGCCAGTGCGGGGTGGGACGGCCAGCGTTGGGGGAGGGAGGAAGTGTGCGTCCTGAGCCTTTGCAGAAAGGCGACCCACGGAGGCCAGGAGGAAACAAAGAAAGGGATCTGGCAGTGGGCTTGCTCCTCTGGGGACGGATGTCAGGCTGTGCATGTGCTCCCAGAGCTCAGGGCGCACCCCCGACTCCCAGCATCTCACACAAATGCAGTGCTGACTCAGCAGGGCCAGAGTGGGGCATGCAGTGCCTCAGAGCACCCTGAGAAGCAGGGCTGGGGTCCTTTATCCTTGTCCTTGTGCTGACCAAGGAGTACTGTGGGCACCTTCTCCTGGCAGGAAAGCGGAGGCTATGCGAGCTCCCCAAGTTTGCTTGAAAGTGCCCATTGTGCTGACCACACACAGGACCTGCACTGGCCCTGCAGCCATGGTGGGGGGCAGCACATCCCCCACCTCTCCTGCTCCCCCCAGGTGCACGCTGGACTCAAGTCTTCCACGATTCAGTTCAGACCCTCCTGTGGTCAGCTGGTCTCCAGTCTGGAGCTTGCAAGCTGGCTTGCATCTAGAAATAGTCTACCTCACAGGAAACCAAATGCTATTGGCTAATTTTGCAATACAGATGCCCTCAGAGAGAGAGAGAGAAAGGGAAACACTTGTCACTGGTGGAGTCTGCGTGGGACAGGGTGGCTGAGTGGCACATCCTGAGTTCTGTGCCTGCCTGCCCCAGGTAGGCACGGGGACTGCTGGGTACCTGTGGGCAGGGTGGGGCGGGCCCCGCGGTTGGAGTAGGTAGCCATGTGGTTTTTGGTCTGCACCACACTGCAGACTATGTTCCTGAGCATGCTGCAGCCTAAATATACCCAAGAAGCGCGGGAATGGGATGTAGTGGGGATGAGCTCTGCCCCTGAGATGATGGAACAGGATTAGAACTCCTGGTAGTTTCATTTTAGGGACACCTGGAAAACCTTGAGTTGACATTGACTGAAAAGAGCATGTGATAAACTTGTACCGGGTGAATAATGAATTATTCATTTTCTAAGATAGAAATAGTATCGATGTCTTAGGGCAAAATTAAATATTGTAGTGGGGTCATGACTTTGGAGAATGCATGAAATACTGACCCTAATGGCTAATGGTTGAACTGGGTGATGCATACTGGAAGATTCTCTCTACTTTTAATTGTTTGAAAATTTAATAATAAAGAGTATTTTGATAACATCTGCATTTTATTGTAAATATAAATATGTTTAATATAAATGTAAAATATGCACAAAGATTAAATGCAGAAAAGCTAAACACCAGTGTATTTCATCTAGGGTGTTTTGGGTTTTTTTTTTTTAACCATCTACAGGTTTTTTTTGTTTTGTTTTGTTTTTGAGTCAGGATCTCACTATGCAGTTCAGGCTGGCCTTGAGCTCACTTTGTAGCTCAGGCTGGCTCTGACTCAGACAATGATTCTGCCTCAGGCTCCAGAGTGCAGGGATTACAAGCGTGTACTGCCGTACCCAGCTGTATCTAGAATATCTATAAAGAGCACTTTTTGCATTTACAATCAAAACTTTTAATTAATAAGCTGCTGGCACAAATTCATTGTTCAACTATAATATATTCTTTTATAACTGTTGTGAGCACACAAGACATGGAAAGTTTGCGCCATTGGACAATGTCGCCTTTGGAAAGAAATTCCAAGAGCAAGACAGGCCTTTTAGAGGCCCCAGCTGCCACTGGCTTTTCCTCCGGGTTGTGGCGATCACAGTCTGAGTCCTATAGCCCTGTTTTGTGAGTTTCAGGAACAGGCAAGGGATTTTAGGGTTTTCCTCCCCCTCCCTAAAAAGTGTTGGTTTAGCTTAGCTTAGCTTAGCTTTCTTTTTGAATACTTAAGGTCTAACACTTGAGGCAAAAGAAAACTAATCCCAAAGCGAAGAAGACTATCCTCAGGAAAGGCCGGGAATCTCCCTGCTCGGCACCTGTTGGAGAGGCTGGGCATCTGGAGAAGCAGCAGGCAGGAAAGGCCACTCAGTGCTGGGCCCTGGGGGCCACTGCAGGTTGGGCTAGGGGCAGGGGCTGGAACCAAGGGTCTCTGGAAGAGAGGAATGGCTCCAGGAGGCCAGAGTGGATCCTCGTCTTTCACCATTTTGCTTTGCTGTACTGTCAGGGCAGAAAACAGTCTCTGCTCAGCTTCAGCCTGACCCCTCATGGCCCGGAGGCTGCCATGGCACTGACCTGGCCCTTGGGAAGGAGCACCTAGACTCTGTCAGCTGCAGGACAGTCTCCATGCACTCTGCCCCCACCCTGCTCCTCAGTTGCCCCCACTTCTCAGAGCGGGAACAGGAGTTGCTTCCCTCTGGAGCGGAGTCTTGGCTTCACTCTTGTGACCCGGCTCGGCACAACCCCTTGGGAAGTCTGCTTCCTCCTGCTACAAGGCGCACTGTTAGGACCCGAAAGCTGGAAACGGGCACACATTGACTTTCGCTAAGGATCGGGAACAAGGGATAGCAGGTCCCAAGCACACTCCTGGTCCTCAAAAAACTGTGTTGTTATCACGGGGAAACTGAGGCGTAGACAGTTTGGGTAACTTCACAATCCTGACTACTTTCAAAATAGGTTATGAGCCATTCAAAGTGTTAGCACTGACCCAGTTCAAAACCACCTCTCTGCCCACCCCAGCCCCCCGCCAGGAGGCGCAGTCCTCCTCAGCCAGGGGCTGCAGCCTCGGAGAACCTCTTTCCCCAAATCAAGGATCTTCAGCAGCTCCTCCTCAATCCTACCTGTCTCAGTGTTCAGAGACCACACCACTGCAGGATGTGCCACCCAGCGAGGAGAATGTGGCTTCTCACGGCTGGTCACAGTCACACGGAACAGTGGACGCGGGATGGCAGAGTCCAAATCTTGGCTGACTTTTCTGAGGACTTGTTCTGCTTCCCAAGTACCTGAGAGTTGTTCCACAAGCCTGGACCCTTGTGTCACTCATGCTGCCTGGGTAAACCAGGTTGCAGCTGAGTCCTGGTGCTGACGTACCTCTTAGGCGGAGTGGGTATCATATTAGGCCAGCTGTCCTGTGGAGAAAATTTTTGTGGTCTCTGGCCACAGTGGGTAGTTCAACCACCTCGTCTGCTTACTTGGTCAAAGTGCAACTATTTTGGATTGTGAGTCTTGGTGGAGGGGGAAAATATCTGTATTCCATCTCCTGAAGTATCTCAGTCTGCCTTTATGCCTGTGTTTATTGTTGAATGTAATACACTGAAAGGACGATTCCAGACAGCATTCAGGGTAAGAGCTTATTAAAATTAATCTCCACCTAACAGTTCAGTCCAGGGGAAAGAACCTTGCTAGAACTTGCCAGAACCCTGAAGTCTCCCTCATGGCACTGCCTAACAACAACCGCTTTCCCTGTGAGTAACCATAATCCTTACTTGTCCATTTGGCTCAATCTAAACATGCATCTTGAAACAGCATGGCTAGCTTTGCCTATTGTTTCTCTTTGCATACAAAGATCACTCACAGATTTACTTTTTGGTCAGGCTTTTTTGGCTCAACATTGAGCTTTTCAAATGTATCCAAATTGTAGGAGATGCACAAGGCAGCGCAGTCCAGATTGGCCCTAAACTGGGTCTCACACATGTGCACGGGCACCACCAGCACCATTTGGGCATCTGCTAAGAGACTGCTAAGGCGGGAAGAAACCTCTCCCTTCACAGGCAAGCACACGTGCCATGTTAAATCACACTCACCAGACGAACAGTAGAGCACTGGATAGCACCATTGGTCACACCAGCTCACCCTAACTTGACCTGGAGATCAGGGCGCCACTCATGTTGCCTAAGTGGCTACACCCAGAGGAGAAACAACCTCTCTGGTCTTCTTGGTGACAGGAGGTGGGTTTGCAGCCTGCAGCAAGATGCAGAAGTTAACCCCTGTTCCCCACCAACAGAGACAGAGAGGGCCAGATCCTGGACAAAGACCTTCATAGGTCGCAGAGCAGACTGAAGCCTGACAAGTTTCCAAAGGATTTACCCACATCCCGAGTAAGAAAAAGTCCTTACAGGTATTCTAAAGCAAATGTTCTAAGAAAAAGGAAATGAAAAACATCTCTTATTTAGAACAAAGAGAACTAAGCTTTTGTGCTTAATTTTTATTTGCCCTTCACTAGCATATGGTAAAGATGCTCAATTAATCAATTAATTATTGGTTTAATTAATAATTAACAAGTCCATCTCCTCTCTGTGAAAAAGTCCACTTTTTAAAAAAGTGATAAAGTGTTTCTTTTCAAAATTTGTACCATTTTCTTGGGCAGAAATAATAAATACATGAAGCACTTGAAAGAGGAAAAGGAAGGGGGTGTCAAACCCCAGACAATGGCAGGTTTGGAAAGGACAGCTACTAACCCCAAGAGCCTACACCCAGGGCTGGTTTCCTCCTGTCCCTGTTGCTCTGCAGCCTGCGTGCATGCATTTGCCTCGTAGTAAAGCTTGGAGGGGCCGATGCTGCGCGGCCTTAGGCGAGCTGATGACTACAGCACTTTTTCCTAACAGCCCCCTGGAATGGAACTCAAGGCCACTCATCTGACTCTAGCCTCAGCTCTCTCTGCATCTGTGTCATAAAAATAGCTATCATCGTAGGTGGGAACGCCATCAGGATCTGGTAAAACTTGGCTGCCCCAGCACCAAGGGCTCGGGCATGGCAGTGGGCTGAAAACTTTCCTCACCAGTACGAAGTAAACTCCAGACTCTCCAGGGCCAGAAATCAACAGATCCAGATCAGCTCTGTCTCCACCAGAATCTCATCTGACCACACACAGGCTACAACCCTGCCTCCCGGGAAGCTGGTGGGCAGCCATTCTGTGAACTATAAATCACATGTCCACGAGGTCCTCACCTCAGACCCGTGATGGCTTTAAGACCTCTTCCAACTGATTCTTGAGCTGTCAGAGCTGGCAAAGCCCTCGGAGAAGATGGGTTCATGCTTTCATTTCACATATCAGTAAACTGAGGCAGAGCTATAGCAGGGTCTCTGGGCCATTAGTGCATGGACTGTGTGGGCCCTGTGAGGGGTGTGGCCTTCAACGGCAGTGTTACATAATAAGGCAGGAAATGAGCTGACCTTTCAGCTGTTCTCTAGAGGAAATTGTTTGCTTCTTTCTTTCTTTTTCTTTCTTTCTTTCTTCCTTTCTTTGTTTTAATCACTGTAGATTCTGGGAGTCTGCCAGTGAGGATCACACAGGGGTGGCAAGGGGCCAAAGGGCACCCTTCCCTCCCATTTGCTGCTTAGCATTCCCTGAAGATCAGCTTGCTGAGTTTTGACCGAGGAGGAACAAACTCAGCACTTCAGTTTGCAGCATGGCCCAGGTTTCTTCTCAGAGGACCTGGGCCTGCTATTTCTCAGTCCTAGTTCTAGAGAAGTGGCCTGGAGAATTCCGAAGGCCTCCCCTCCCACAGCTGTGTGCAGAGATGCATCTGGGCTTGAAACCTCATCTGCATTCCCTCTTCGGACTCATTAACCAAGTCTCTGAGCTTCTTCTCCTCATTTCTCATGCGGGCCTGTGGAGACAGTTCAGGGGACTGCGCGTGGAGCAGAACCTTAGCAGGCAAATCAGCGGCAGCTTCTTGCTCCTTCTGGGCTGGGGATGGAGCTCGGGGGGAGAACACTTGCCTAACATGCAAATTCCTGCGCCTGTTCTCTAGCACTGAAAAAGATCCGTGGTTAAACTGGGGCTTTCTGAGGGCGACTCCTGATTTTGGAACACTAATAGAACCAGAACATCCCTGAGACAGAAAGCAATTTTCAAGTTGAACTTGTTTCAAGAAAAAATAAATCGTATAAGTCTCTTGGCACTAGACTGTGCCCCAGACTTAAACTTCACTGTTCAAAAAAAATACAATATAAGGAAGAGCCAAGGGAAGTAATAAAGCGAAGCTGCATTAGATTGGGAAACAGTAAGCAAGGTGTAAAGCCAGAAGAAGGGAGAAGGGACAGAAGAAGAAAGCGGATCAGCCTCTTAGAAGAGGAGGAAGCATAGAAAAGGGAAGCGGATTGGAGATAGTGGGTAAGGATGCCACCACCCCACCCAGAGAAAACAGTTAAAAATAAATGAGTAGACATGAGAAAAGGAAGTGACCAGAGGAAGTGGGCCGGGATGGTCAGTGGAGGAGAGCAGGAGTTTTATGAAGTAGGTCACGTGCAAGCCAGCCCCATCTGAGTGTGGGACACAGACCCTGGCCAAGCGCCACTCCTAGGCTCAGCGCAGATTCTCCCATCTCAGCATCAGCTGTTAAACGCTGGGCTTAGCAAACTCGAGGGTGCAGGGAGCTGAAAACAGCCCTCTGGGGCCTTGGGTTCCTGCTGGCTTGCTGATGCAAGGTGCGGGGCGGAGGGTGTAGCTCGGGGGGAGCACTGAGCCCTGAGATGCAATGTGTAGCCTCAGAGTTATTGATGTACTCCTGGTGTGTACCTCTTGCAACTTCTGTGGGTACAGAACCTAGCTAAGAAGACACTCCAAGCATTCATCTTGTGGAATTCTTACACTTGGTTCTCAGGAACAAAAAGAATGCATAGTCCAGGTCTGGCCACCCTCACATCTGCTTCCAAAAAAGCCTCTCTCCAGGTTCACCTCCAGCTCTGAATATCTCAGAGGACCCAGATGTAAAAGCTGTCCTCAGCTCAGGCCCACACTTTCTGAAAGGGCGTCTCACTAAAGCTATCAAGTTCAGTGGAAACTTGGTGAAAGGGAGGCCTTGCCATGATGTCAGGTTTCTGGTGCAGATGAGACTCCTGAAGCTCTGGGACTGTCCCCTGCTGCGGCTTGGCTTGAGCACAAAGACTAGAAATCTCTTTCAGAAGAGATAACACCATGCATCACTCTGATTCACACAGCCTGGCATGGCTATTTTTCAGCGCTTGCCTAGAAGATGGTTGAAATTGCTCACAGAGGTGCTCAATGATCAGATAAGCCCAGTAGCACGTGTGGGAAGCTGAGTTGGCCACACTGATTTATGTCTGTGATTGGGGGTGGCCCGTGCTTCTCTTTCAGCTGATGCATCTCTTTTCTTATCTTCTAAGCCTTCCACTGATTCACTCATCCTTTCATCCGTTCATTCAACACACCAGATACCAACAGAGCTCTGAGAGGTGAAGAGCCCCTCGGCTCATGACCATGGAGGACACTGTACGCCCAGTGGACACTTGAATGGTTGCTCTGCCCTCTGCTTTATCTGACAGCCATTGTGTTCCTGGTCCTTCATCTTTGGTGGTGGTGAGGTAGTCTGGCAGGAACAGAGGGGACTCAGCTTTAGTCCTGCTCCTGCTTCTGGCTGGGTGGTGAGCAGGATACTTAACATCACACGGTCGGGCCCTGCTGCGAGGCTCCTGTTGATGTCTTCCCCACTCCTCACTCTGGAGCGTGTCCAGACCGGCCCTCGCTGGGGCTCATGGTAGGTGGGTAATCACCTTCCATGTGCGTAGCACTGTGGCATCCTGGAGAGGGACTCCTGCAGGACCTGGGACATTTCAGGGGTCCTTGTTAGGGATGCTGAGCCACCAGGGAGCCAGGAAGAGAGTGGCTGAATGTTGATCTGTCCTCCCTGGGGGTCCAGAAGCGGTCCCCTCATTGCCCCTGCAGTGTTACCTGCGACAGCACCCCAACTGCGAGAGGATGCACTGGCCCACTTGTCCAATTCTGTCTGAGTCAAAGTTGACCCATGTGAATTTTCCCCACTGAGATGAAAGCCTCTTGGTGCCTGAGACGGGCTGAGCGACCTCTGGGAGAGGACCAGCAGAGCTCTGCGCTGCGTGTGGTATTTCAGACAGCTTTGCTGCGTGGGTGTCGAGCTCCCCAACCAGGACTAACCCCTGCCTTATTATTATTTATTTATTATTACTAAAATTTGGCGCAAATTAGAGAAGATGTCCCCAGATGTGCAGCATCCTTGAGCCAGGATACCCAGTGTCAGCACTAAATGTGGGGCTCCCTTGGTGCTCAGGCAAGCAATCAGTTGCTTATTTCCAATTTCCCCTGCCTGCTCTACACTCTGTGCCAACGTTTATCTCTTTCTCCTCTCAAATATCCTGGGAGCCATTCTGCAGCAGTGAATTAAATATACAACTTTCGTTTCAGAATCTCAGAGAAGGCAAAATAGACTCGAAGGCATGTGGAATGTCTAACAGTAAGACCAGTTTGCTAAAAGCTCCATGAGGAGTGGCTAACTCTCCACCCCCTCCAAAATAAGCTGAAAAGTAAGTGCCCCACTCCCAGGGGGGAAATTACAACAATTTTTAAACACAGAATGTCCAGGATGGCCAGAGTAGAGTGAAAGAAGAGTCTACAGACAGCCCTGACAGTCCAAAGACCCAAAGGCTTCTCCACCTAATGAAGGAAATGACTAACCCAGGGTCCCTCACTGTAGGCTCCAAGGTCTGAGCTATTTCTGCTGTCGCACAGCAGCACGTCTGGGAAGACGACGGTCCATGGCACTAAGTAGTAATTGTTGTCTTCCCTTGAGACATATGAGACTGAGACTTGTAGAGCTCAAAAGCTAGTCACACATCAGCCACTTCTGTCAAATTAAATATTGTTGATTAAAGTCATAGCCTGGCACCTGCCTTGCAAGCAGGCAGTCGTGAGTTCGATCCCCGGTACCGATAAAAGGAAAAAAGACCAAAAAAAAAGTCATAGCCTGAGGTTTGGATCCACGCAAAGTGTCCTTGCAGCCTGTAGCAACCGCACACCTTGCCTGGAGTTGAGAGCCTCTGCGAGGCCTGGGGTGGTCCAAGGAGGTCAGCCTCAGCCAACTGCATCGCAGAAGAGGCTGGGCAGGGAGAAACAGTGCCTGGCTGGGTGGGCCCTCATCCACAGAGACCGAGTAAAACCGCACAGACGGGCTGCAGAGAGCGGTACACACTCCTGGGTAAAGAAGCTGAGGTTTGCTTTCAGTTTTGGTGAGGAAGGAGGTGAGGATATGCATGAAGAGGGTTTGAAGACTAAATTTCTGAAGGGCCTGTCTATGGAAGGCTGCCTCATGAGCCGCCTCCAGAATAAATGTCCCAAACGTCCTGGCTGGGAATGTGTTTATGCCCGACCTGTTCAGTTTGTGCTCAGAAGGAAACAGGAGGTAAGAACAGTGGGGAACCCAGAGCCCACGATGCCCAGGTGGATTAACCCTGGAGCCCACCTCTCTGCCGTCTCAGATCAGCCGAGCCTTCTGTAGTTGCACAATGATGCCTTCTCTTCCCCAGGGCTGTGGGATAGCCCGCGACCTCAGCCTGCATGAGCTTGGGGGGTTCCCATACGTGGGATTCTCTATGCTGAAACTAGGAAAGTCCTCGGCAACTCAAAGCCACAGAGTCACCTGTAGTGTGTGACTCTCCATGGGATCCCTTCTGAGGAAGAGCAGGCCTTGTTGGTCCCACGAGGAAGAGAGGAGAAAAAGAGGGGTCAGTCTGTCAGAACCGCGGGAGAGAGTCTGAGACCTCTCTCCCCCAAAGAGAATCACAGAGGGAAAATGAGGGTACAGGGGCAGGAAAGGTGGAAGTGAAGAGAACACCTTTGGGAAGGGTTCGGCTGAAGGACGCCCCTGCGGCTACCACCCTTCCCCATCCCGCGTCTCACTTCCTGCCTGTGGTCCTCCCTGTGGCCTCCACACGCCGGTCAGGCTGGACACTTTTCAGAGAGACTTGAAGAGCCAGAAGAGACCTCTTTCTTTTTCCAAAACCTACCTCTGAATGCTGGCTGAGTCGCTGACACTTGGCTTTGGTCAAGTCCTCTCAGAGACCTCTTTGAGCCTCTCAGGGACCTGACTGTTTCTTCTACCCAAGACATCTGTGAGGACTCACAAGGTGGTGATGCATGAGTAGACAAGGTAGCAGCCGCCCAAGCGATATGGATGTCTACCTTCCTGCCTCTGGGGGGGCTAGACAGAATTCTGCATTTGGTCCTTGAGGACTAACGCTGCCATTTGTTTTCTCTTCTGATCCAGGCTTTCACCATGCCAACATCCTACCCTGAATCCAACACACCGGACTTTGAGTACGATGAGTTCGCAGAAGCCTGTAAAGTGGAAGACATCGTAGCATTTGGGGCCGTCTTTCTGTCCATATTTTACTCCCTCGTCTTTGCCTTTGGTCTGGTGGGCAATCTGTTGGTGGTGTTCGCTCTCACCAAGAGCAGGAAGCCCAAGAGCATCACTGATATTTACCTCCTGAACCTGGCTCTGTGTGACCTGCTCTTCGTGGCCACGTTGCCCTTCTGGACTCACTATGTGATCAATGAAGAAGGCCTCCACAACGCAGTGTGCAAGCTCACGACTGCCTTCTTCTTCATCGGCTTCTTTGGCGGCATATTCTTCATCACCATTATTAGCATCGACAGATACCTGGCAATCGTCTTGGCAGTCAACTCCATGAACAACCGGACTGTGCAGCATGGCGTCACCATCAGCCTTAGCGTCTGGGCAGCAGCCATCCTGGTGGCAGCACCCCAGTTTATGTTTACAAAGCATAAAGACAATGAATGCCTAGGCGACTACCCTGAAATCCTGCAGGAAATCTGGCCTGTGCTCCGCAATGTTGAAGCAAATGTTCTGGGCTTTCTGCTGCCCCTGCTCATCATGAGTTTCTGCTACTTCAGAATCATCTGGACATTGTTTTCTTGCAAGAACCAGAAGAAATCTAGAGCCATCAAACTCATCTTATTGGTGGTCGTCGTGTTTTTCCTCTTCTGGACGCCCTACAATGTGATGATTTTCCTGGAGACCCTCAAACTCTATGACTTCTTTCCCAGTTGTGACGTAAAGAGGAAACTGAGGCTGGCCCTCAGTGTGACTGAGACCTTGGCGTTTAGCCACTGTTGCCTCAACCCCCTTATCTATGCATTTGCTGGAGAGAAGTTCAGAAGATACCTGTCCCACCTGTACCGGAAATGCAAGGCGGCCCTGTGCGGTCCCTCGGTCCATGCCGGCTTCTCTGCTTCAGAGTCACCGAGGAGCAGACAGGGCAGCATCCTGAGCAGCAACTTCACTCACTACACGAGCGATGGAGAGACATCCATCCTCCTATGAGGGCTCCCCCAGGCCGTCTCTGTGGGAGCGCAGAGCTCCTGAGCTGATGCCAGCTAGGCGCATCAGTTTTGTTGTTACTTCTTACATGGAAGAAATATGGACTCCGTACTAACCAGACAGTCCGGTCTTTTCAAGAATTGTGCTTAAAACTTGAATGATAAGGCTAGTCGTGGCTCTTACTGGAAGGTCAGGAACTTTTTCTTTCTCCCCCCCCACCCCCTTAACTTCACTTCAGAAGGAACTTTTTCTTAAAGATGACAAAAATTCAACCCTGACTAGTTTAGTTACAGGGTGGTGGGTACTACTCACAGTGGTGAGGGGATGGCTGAGCCCTCAGGGTGAGTTGAAACCAGACCCTGAATCTAACTAGAGCTTTTTCTCACTGATCTTCAGATCTTTGAGTAGCGACTGGTCTTCCAAGCTCACATAACACAGCTCTGTCACTAGAGAGGGACTGAAACCTATTCCTTTCTGGTCCCAGGGTCCAAATTCCCAGGGAAGGATTCTGATTGGTTAAGCTGGTACCAGGGACCCGTCTTTGGACCAGAGGGTGTGATCCCACAAAGCAGGACATAGCACCTCATGATTAGAGGTGAGGAAGGTATATCTCCAAGAATTTGTAGGGGTGAACACTGTCCTGATCAGACAGCACAAGGGCCAGACGCCATCCTCACTGTGTACCTAGCCAGTGCCTCCCCGATCACGTGAACCAGTACCCGTAGCTGACTCCCTGTTCACTAAACCTCTTTCTCCCCACCCTGCAAGAGTTCCCAGCTGCTCACTGCATCCAGTCCAAACTCAAGTGCCTGGTGCCTGGGCTGCCACAACGTCACCTAACCTACAAATTCCAAAGGAATTCTGTGGAGGAGAGAGTCCTCCCCAAATGATTCCACTTACTCCGTCAGTCAGGTCTCTTCCATAAAAACTCCACACATCTCATTCCACTTGTTTTCGGGCCCTGAGGGAGAGATAGAAAGGACCCTGCCTCAGAGCGAAGGGATGGATTCCAATCCCAGCTCCGGCCCTGTCTACTGGGAAGGTTGGGCCAACAGGGTGCCATTTCCCGGTCTGTAGCCAGGGAATAATGGCACTCTTCAATAGAGAACCCCTTTCCAACATGAAAAGCCAGCCACTCTTGCAGGCCATAACCCTCTACTCTGGTTCCAGATGTCAACTTTTCTGCACCTGGTAGTGCTGCACTCTGGCCAGAAGTGTGGTGACAGAACGTAGCCCAGACAGAGAGGACACTGGACCCCATCGCAGCACTCAAGGAGCGCCTAGGTCCACAAGCCTACCTGACCCAAACCTCCTCTGCTGTCCTCAGTAGTCCTTCCCCCAGGGACTTCCAGCGAACTCCTACCCAGCTGGGAAAAAGCCCCATTCCTCTTGCCCCTGCTAACGTGGAAAGCCAGGGAACAGGGTCAGCCTTCTACTCTCAGTGAACACTGAGGGTGGTGTAAAACTTCAAAGCTCAAAAAACAACTGTAACAGTGCTGAAAAAGATACCTATGCTCTAATCACACAGATATTTTCACGCCTGCAGTTACCAGCATGTGTTTAGGATTCCAACCTTAACAACGTATGGTTTTATAATCTGCTTTTTTCAACCTTGGATTGCAAATACCTCTCTTACATAATCATCACGTTCGAAGACTCTACCAGATTGCACACTCACTGAAGCAGAATGCTGCAGCCCTGACAGTCTTAGCAGTGGGTGTGTTTAATGAAGGAGAATAAATCATGTTCCTTCAAGATCATGTACCATAATTTACTCACCATTACTCTGTTGATGAACATTTAACTTGTTTCCAATATTTAACAAATACACACTTTGCATCACTTATGTCTGAATTGTTTTCTCCTTGTTCAATTATTTCCATTTAGATAAATTCCTTCTCATGGGGAATAATTGGGTCAAAGGGCACAGAAGCTTTTTAGCTTTGGTACATACATGTGAAGTTAACTTATCATAAAGCCTTTCTTGAGCACATATTGCATACAACATGTAAGCTCAGGTCCAGAACTATTCCAAAGGCAATGAGATCATGCCTCTGCCCTCAGTGACTTACCATTTAAATGAAGAGAGACATAAATAAATATGAGGTGTGATTGAAAAATATGGTGAATGTTAATTTTTTTTAAATTTAGTTTCTTGATATCTTCCCAGAAGTACCACAGTGATATATGTGCACCTGGTGTTTATAGCAGCACAATCTATAATAGCTGGATCTTGGAAACAACTCAAATGCCCACCAACCAAGGAATAGATTAAATAGATGCAGTCCTTTTATACAGTAGAGTACTACTTAGCTATAAAGGATAAACTAAAGCCTTCTGTAGGTAAATGGATGCAACTCAAGGCGTACTCATAAGTGAAACAAATCAGATCGCATGTATAAACATCGTATTGTCTCTCAAGTGTGAGAAGCTGAAAGAGTTAACAAGATCCAAAATGAGGAATAGATATTGTGAAGCAGGAAGAAACTGTTCAAAAAGAAAGAAAGAAAAACTGGGAATGGGAAACAGAGAAAAAGGAAGGGAAAAGCAAACACATAAAAAGAATATATATGTTGTATATATATAATAGTTAAGCTAATCACACTACTAATTTCTCTTAGTTCATTGAAAAGAAAGGTTTATGCTAACATCGTTTGGGCAGCTAAATGCCTATATCTTATACTCTGAGTAGCCAACTTAAACATAATAATATGCAATGTATTAACCATTGTTACTCTCCCATTATCTTGTTTTGAAATTTTATTTTATTTTTTAAAATAATCCTCTTCAAAATACTCTCCCCCACTTTAAACACATCTATCCCACCATTCCTGCCGCTTCTGAAGCAGTCTGCAAATTCTCTTTTGTGAATGTCTTTAGTTGTGCTGTTGTGGCTGTTTGCCTGTCCTAAATGGATTCAAAATGCTTACCTGTGTCTGTCATGGTCATCTTGACTTTGGGGAAGAGCCAGAAGTCATCCGGCACCAGGTCTTACGAAGGACACTGCAGTGGTTTCTTAAGCCTGCGTTTCCACTGGATGCCATTCACCACAGTTTTGTTCACCACTCAAACACTCACCACCATCAGGGGTAGTAGGAAGGACAGGATGAGTGGGGGAGAGGGGGATTCATGACAATGAGTCTTTTTTTAATAATACTTTTTGAATGTAAATATCACCATATACTTTGACCATACCACATAAGCAGATTTGCATTACGTGCTAGCTCAGGAGCGGTGACTCTGGATTCCACTTTTAGAGATGCGGGATTTTACAACAGAGAGTGTCATGCAGGCTGAGGAAGTTTCATGTTTAATGAGGTGGAAGAGAACAGAAGGCTTTTAGGATGTGAACAATCATCGTGCAGATACTGTAAGACACTGGGAGCGGAGTGGGGGCGGGATCTTGTGGTTGGTAGTTATGGGCTGGGTCAAGCAGCCAGGGAGGGAGGGGTGTGGTTGGACAGTGTTCACAGTTTGCTCCATGATGACTTGATCCCACCTTCAACTGTTGTGTTGAGACTGGATTAAAGTTTAATTTGCTTTCAGAATCCCCAGGAGGTAGAAAATAATCATTTTGTCTTGAGAAATAAAAGAAGGGAACCAATCACTTTCCTTCCCAGAAGACATTAAGTGTGCCTCGTGAGACTCCTCCAACCTCTCATTCATCTTACTAAACAGGAAAATCCCAGACAGCTAGGACATCAGTGCCTAAATAAAAGAATCATGTTTGAAAAGCAGAGTTGACCCTCAGCAGACAACTGGGTCAGATCAACTCCTGCCTCTGAGCTCAAAGGCTCTCCCCAAAGCAGAAGAAAAATGAGAGATTCCAGATGACGGTGCACAGTCGGTCCAACATAGCTATTGTGTGATCTTGAGCAAGTTACTTAACATCTGCTAGGCTCAGTTTCCCCATCAGAAGAACAGAGATAATCGGTGCTACCTCCTAGGGATACGAGGGGTATGAGTAGACTACTTCTGCTGTGCTCAAGATGGCCAAGCAAGCTCCAATGAATGGTGGTGATTGCTTCTATCCTTTCTCTCATCCACTCTTCCCAGAAGGAAATTCATACTATTTTGTCCTTACTTTTCTTAGTCCCCAAATCACAGACTTCTCCGTGGACAGGGATAGTGGCATTCAAGCATAAGGTGCAGCTGAGGAGAAAGACAGCAAGAGCTGGAGTCTGACCCAAGAATCCAGTGAAGGGGCTGGGGATTTAGCTCAGCGGCATAAGCGCCTGCCTTGCAAGCAGGCAGTCGCAAGTTCAAACCCTGGTACCGATAAAAATAAAAATAAAAAAAAATTTAAAACTCCACAGTGAATCCCCGGAAAAGGCAGAAGTGTGATTCTCACCGCGCCACCTCCCTCCTTGCCTGGGTAAGAACACAGGCCGCTTGGGCTTCTGGGCATTGAAAGTGCAGGTGCGCAGCAGGGAAACCCTGGAAAGAAGGTCCAGAGGCAGATGACCAGCAGCTACCCTCACACGGACAGGCGCGACCCATATGTGCAGCCTTTGGCAGCGACTCTTCTGTGACTTCGTTGTCTCTAATGACAGAGCATCAACAGATGGAGAATCACCAGCGGCAGACACAGGATTCCCAAGGTCACTGCCACTCCGACCTCAGCTGGACAGGACAGATGTCAGGGATGGCCACATCCAGGGCCTTCCCAGAGCTTGGGCCAAGTGCCATGTCCCTTCACATAGTCCTACTCACTTCTGGCTTATTCTGTGTTTTTTCATGACCTTCTAAGGGATATTTTCTTTCCCAGGGACCTGGTCACCAATCTATGTTTTAGGTTCCTGGGAAGAACTATCGGCCCTTACAATCCATCACACCTGGAGCACATGGGGGTCTCCTGCCCCCGCCCCGTGTGCATGCGTGTGTGTGTGTGTGTGTGTGTGTGTGTGTGTGTGTGTGTGTTATATGTGTGTACCCTCAGTGTCCAGGGAAAGAGACACTTCTGGTGTTGCAGCCTCAGCAGGGCACGTGGCAACCCGACTCCAAACCCCCCCCCCAGGAAACACAAGCCCCCAGCTGATGTGGCAGCTAGCCCACCTCAGAAACCAGCTCCCCTCTGCCGCTGCTTCCCCGTCACTGGCCTAAGCGGACCACTGCAGTTTAACTTGACTTGCGGGAGTTGTTTGCTGAACTTGCTGCACTGACAGCATCGTTTTTGGGCTACTCTAAAGAGCACACTGATCTGCGAGCGAGTGAGACAGGTGAGTCTTGGCGAAGTTAAAAATAGCTGATTTCTATTCCAAAGAAGCTCCATCCACAGGGACCCGAGTCACCTTCTGCAGCTCTGTGCTCAAGGCCTGTGGTCAGGCAGCAGGCAATATTGCTCTAGGCCCGCCTGATGCAGCCATAGCAACTGCAAAACAGGCACCACAGGAAAATTACTCTTTTACATCATAGTTCCTCATTTATTGAGAAAAAAAAAACAAAAAATTAACTGTACTCGTTTTTCAAAATTAGGTAAGGTTGTTCAGCTTTCAATGTGTTTGCTTTATGTCCTCTACATCTTTTCCTGATTATGAGACACAAGGGCATCATAGAAAATATAAAAATAAAGAATTTTAAATTTAAACATTTAAACTATATAATATTCTGCCTCTTGAAGAGTTTAACATTGATTTTGTTTTTTGGCTGTATCTTTCTCTGCAGATATAAATTTTTTTAAAGATTTGAGATCATCATAACACTCATAGAGCTTTCATTTTTTTTTTTAATTTTTTGAGACAGGGTGTCACTGTGCAGTTCAGGCTGGGCTTAAGCTCATTTTGTACCCAGGCTGATCTTGAACTTGCAACAATCCTCCTGCCTCAGTCTCCCGAGTGCTGAGATTACTGGTGTGCACCACCATGTGCGGCTTTATATCTTGTTTTTTAAATTAGTATTAGGAGAAATGCTTTCCTCTATAGTAAACTCAAATATAACTGTTTTAAAGATGGGGTTTCACTGTGTTGCCCAGCCTGGCCCAGAACTTGTGGGTGCAAGAGATCCTCCTGCCTTGGTCTTCTAAGTATCTGGGAGCTCATGACAAAGAAAATAAAACCTTTTTATCATATATATTTCCCCTGTTTTTTTATTTGTCACTTTTCCCATCTCATAAAGCAGAACTCCCAGTGATTTCCTCTTTTAAAATTGCTGAGTTAGGGGCAGAGGATTTAGCCCAATGACATAAGCACCGGCCTGGAAGTTTGATCCTCAGTACAAAAAAAAAAAAAAAAAAATGCTGGATTAAACCAGGGTGGTGGCCCAAGCCTATAGTCCTAGCACTTAGAAGCTGAGGCAGAAGGATTGTTGCAAGTTTGAGGCCAGCCCGAGCTGCACAGTGAGTTCAAGCCTAGCCTGAACTGCTTTTTGAGACTGTATCTCAGAAACCAGACAGCAGGACCCTGTCCCTGCTGAGTCCAGACCTGGCATTTGGCATCCTTGCTCTGAGACTGTTGGTCTTTGGAAGTTAATTAATTGCCTTGGGCCTCAGTTTACCCATCACGAAAAGGAGACCTGCCTACATCCAGTGCTCAGGTGACAGCAGCCTCCTATAATGTAGCTGCTGGCCTTTTCCAGCCCTGGAGCTCAGTGCAGAATCTTGTCCTTCACTGGTGCCCTGCGGGCACAGTCAAGCCTCCCTAGCATTAGGGGGGCCTCCTGAGCCCTGCTGCTCCCTCTGCCTGGCTTTGGAGGGAACAGCTTGTCTTTATTTCTTCCGGACACCATGGTATCAGCTTTGCCCTTGGCATTTTCCAAGGTGCTCTCTGTGTGCATGTGGACCCATCCCCACCAATGGCCCTGACCCCACATCTCCCCTCCTCCCACTGCAAAGGGAGCCCGTGTCCCCAGGGCCTGCA